AAAGGCAATAAAAACCTACCGATTAAGAAAAGATTAGGTCCTGATTGATGGAATCACTGCTAAATTCTACAAAAGTCCTCAGGGAAAAAATCTAATACCAATATTTCTCAAGATCTCTAATGAAACTGAAAGAGAAGGAGTACTCCCAAAGTCATTCCTGGAGGCTATCATTACCCTGATTCCAAAGCCAGACAAGAATCCAACCAAAAGAGAACTACAGGCCGATCCCTTTAATGAACAGACATAAAATTCCTCAATGAGACACTGGCAAACTGAATGCAATAAGTCATCACAAAGATCATACATCATGACAGAATAGGCTTCATCCCAGAGATGCAAGCATGGCTCAGAATATGCAAATCAGAATGTACTGGATAACACATCATAGAAACATAAGCAAGAACAAAAATCACATGATCAGGGCTGGTGAGATGGCTCAGTGGTCTAAAGCACCTACTCAGAACAAGTTGAGCAAAGTACAGGGACCGCGGTTCAATCCCCCAGCACCACATGCCAGCCAGCCCGCCCCCTGGTGGGCTGAGCTGGCCCCACACACACACACACACACACACACACACACACACAAATAAATAAATAGTCACATGATCATCTCAAATAATGCAAAAAAACCTTTGATAAAATCTAACCCTTTTCATAATAAAAAACACTGAAGAAAAGATACAAAAGGATCTTATCACAATCTGATAAAAGCCATTTATGACAAACCTATTCTCAATGTCATATTAAGTGAGGAAAAGCTGAAATCTTTCCCTCTAAAACCAGGAACAAGACAAGGACGTTCATTCACTTTCACTATTACTGGAACACAGTAATTAAAATATTACCCGGAGCAAATAGGCAAGAAAGAGAAAACGGAAATGTATAGGAAAGGAAGAAGTAAAACTACCATTATGTGCAAATTTGCAGACATGATCCCCCCAAAAACTGAAGACCCCCAAACTCTTAAAATTAACCAAATTCAGTAATGTAGCAAGATACAAGATCCACACACAAAAAAATCAATAGCTTTTTTATACACTAATAAGCCCAACTAGGAAAGACATCAGGAGTGGAAATGGCCACACTTCCAAAATGATACACAGATTTAACAAATCCCAGAAAATACCAACAAAGGTCTTCACAGAATTGGAGAAAACAATCTTAAATTCACATGGAACCAGAAGGGACACAGAACAGCAAAAGCAATCCTGGGTAACAAGAACATCACAATCCCAGATTTAAGATTACAAAGTTACAGTAATAAAAATAACACAGTACTGGCACAAAACCCACAAAGAGTATCTGTAGAACAGAATAGGTGCAGAAACAACCCTAAGTATAGTCAACTATCTGATTTTGCATAATGGGGCCAAAACCAGACATTCTTCTCATACAGAAGACTGAATCTGGGGGCCGGGAGATGGCTCAGTGGAATAAGCGCTTCCCTGGCAAGCTCAAGGGCCTGAGTTCAATCCCCAGTTCCGCCAAAAACAAAAAAAGAAGACTGAATCTGGTCCATACATGGATCCATCACGCACTGAACTAAGTGGACAGAAAAACTCAACGTTAAAACAGAAACAGTCTGTTCGATGATTTTTTTTTTAAAAAGGCCAGGGTTACAGATCAGTGATGTAAGTACCTGCTTGACAACTGCAAGTTCCTGAGTTCAATCCCCAGCACCAAAAACAAAACAAAACCAAAAAAAAAAAACCCCAACTCTTTAAGTCTTTGATGTAGGCAAGGGTTTTCTGAACAGGACTCCAATCAAATCAAATCAAACCAAATTGTTTCTGCACAACTAAAGAAATAACCACCAGAGAATGGAAATACAGAATGGGAAAAAAAATTTGCAAGCTATTCCTCACAGGATCAAAATCTAGAACACATAAAGATTTTCAAAAAAGGACCGGCCAGATAGCTTAGCGGACTAAAGCGGCGACTTAGAGTGCCCTGCTGGGGTTCAGTGCCCAGTGTGCTGTGCCGGCCCCACCCCCGGGGCATGCTGAGACTCAGATTGAGACTGGGTATGGTGCGCACGCCTGTAATGCCAGCTCTCGGGAGGCTGAGGACAGGAGGAGCGCTACAACTCTGATCTGCGTACTGAGACCCTGTAGACCCTGTACTAAATACAAATAAATAAATACTTTCAAAAATTACACACCCTTCCAAATAAAAGACCCAATCAAAAAATGAGATGATGAAATAGATACCCTACAAAAGAAGTATGAACAGCCAATAAATACTTTAAAAAAAAAACAAAAAACATGCCGGCCATTAGAGAAATGCAAATTAAAATAACACTGAGATTTCACCTTATTCTAGATTTCCATCAAGAAATCAAATAATGATGCATGCTAGTGAGGCTGCAGGAAGAGAGGAATCCTTCTATACTATGAAAATCCGTATGGAGATTCTTGATTCAAAAACTAAAACTAGAAATTCTACTTGACCTAGCCATTCCCTAATTATCCTCCAAAAAAGAGTTAAAGAAATACATGTATACTCTTATGTACAGTAGCACAATTATTTATTCATTATGTGAGGTACCAGGGATCGAACTCAGTCCCTTCCCCTTGCAATGCAGGTGCTTACGCCACTGAGCTATCTCCCTGGCCCAGCACAATTTATAACAGTTAAGTCTCAGAAGCAGCCTGTACATTCATCAACAGATAAGAGAAAAAGAAAACATATTTACAACACAGTGAAGTACTATGCTATCATAAAGATAAAACTTGAGTCATTTGTAGGAAAATGGACACACCTTAAATGAAATAAGTGTTAAGTGAAATAAATCAGACCCACAAGCTTAAATATCACATGCTTTTTATTATACAAGAAATCTAAAAAGATGAAGATAAAAATAAAAGACAGATAATAGAAAGTAGGGAGACAGATCTTCCCTAAATGGGAAAGGATCAAGAGATGGGGAGAAGAGGGAGGTGAACGAAATGAATCAAGATGTACTGCGGGGCTGGTGAGATGGCTCAGTGGTCTAAAGCACCTACTTAGAACAAGCTTAGCAAAGCACAGGGACCGCGGTTCAATCCTCCAGCACCACATGCCAGCCGGCCCCGCCCCCTGGTGGGCTGAGCTGGACAGACACACACACACACACACACACACACACACACACAAATAAATAAAATTTAAAAAAAAAAAAGATGTACTGCGCACAAGTACCAACTGCACACAAGGAGTTATAAAGAGCATGCACCGAAAACGCGTACTAACAAAAAGGCACGGGTGAGATTAAGAAACAGAAAACAAAGAAAAGTTCAATTTACTGAAATTCTATTTTGCAAATGAAAACAACAAAAAAAAGTGCTCACGGTATTGATTAATGAGAAGCCTCTGGGTTGAAAGCCCAGTATCACAAAAACAAACAGGCAAAACAAAAGCCACATACAAATATTAGACTTTTTCTTTTTTTGGGGGGGGGAACTGGGGATTGAACTCAGGACCCCGGCAAATGCTTATTCCACTGAGCTATTTCCCAGGCCCCCAGATTTTTTCTCTTTTTTTTTCACAGTACTGGGGATTGAACTCAGGTCCTTGGCGCTTGCCAGGCAAGTGCTTATTCTATTGAGTTATCTCCCCAGCACAAATTTTCTAATTAAATCTTATCTGCCACTAAGTTTGGCCTAAAATGCAAGGATTTTTTTTTTTTTTTTTTTTTTTAGCTAGCTCAAGCTGCCTTAAGGTCAGGTCTGGTGCAATTTGTAGAACTGGGGATCAAACTGCAGTCCCCCGCACCAGACTGAGTTAGCCTAAGTAGGCGCTTTAAACAACTAGCTAACCTGCAAACCCATTTGGGCCTAAAGTAGGATTGTGCTGATAGAAAAGGTAATTCAGATCACTTTTCAGTCCACAAACTTCATCTAGCATGGTTTAAGTAGGAAAAAAATAAAATCACTTTCCAACTGGCAAAATGTAAATGCTAAGAAATTTGTGAACTTTAGTTTGTGTAAATTTACACACAGAATTACTGCTACCAGCCAACATGGGACAAACAGCTACGTGATAATGAGAATCTTTGTTTTTTAGTCCAGTGCTACGCAAAGCTCCTCTCACCTCCAGCCTGCGCTGCTTCTCGGGATCCTCTTCATTCATGATCCGCTCCTTCTCCGCTCTTTTTTTCTCCTCGCGACGCGACTGCGCAGCTTCCTGTCTCTGCACATGCGTCAGTTTCAGGAAGTTCTCTTCTACTCGGGCCCGGTTCTTATCTGCTTTTTGTTTGCCCTTTCCCCAAAAAATAAAGTCTTTCATAAGAAATAATTTCTATCCAACAGAAGCAAGGTCTCATCGAGCATTCTTTTGTAAAACTACTCCCATTCGGATTTTCAAGTCAAGTAGCAAAGACTCAACGAAATTGTTGATAGCTGCTCCCCCCACCCCGAAAAAGAAAAGGTGCCGGCTTGTACTAAAGGCTTTGGACCTTACCTCTCTGTTGAGTCGGAACTTTTTGGCTTTATCAATGGAGTAAATCACCATGTTCATCAGGGGTAGCAAAGCCTCCATATCCTTTGGGTAAGTGTTACCTGAGCCAGGCACTGGAAGAGAAAGCTATTGTCCTACTGGGTTCATTTGATCACTGTTTCTGAGTAAGCTTTTTTCTTCTTATATTATTAGATTCCTTTCTCCAAGTTTTTTTTTTAAGATCTTAGCAGCAAAAAAATAGAAATTAAAATACATAAAAGGGTTGATCTATTTTTTGCATGAGGCCTTGTGCACACTAGGTAAGAGATCTACTGCTGAGTTATATTCACAGCCCAACAGTTACATCTTCTTCCTTTCTTTTCTTTCTTTTTTTTTTTTTTTTGGTCACAAGGTCTTCCTATGTAGTTCAGGCTGCGTTTGAACTATGGCTGTCCTTGAACTTGCAGTGATCCTCCTGCCTCAGCCTCCTGAGTGCATAGATTACAGACAAGTGCCACCACACCTGGCCTAGCAGTCACCTTTTTTAAGAAATCTAGAAATCAATAAGCAGGCATAAGAGGTTTCTGTTTTGTTTTGCAGTATTAGGAACTGGCCTCCTGGCCGCACATATGCTAGACAAACAAACACCCTACCACTGAGCTATATCCCCAACCCATAGTTGTTCTTTTGTTTTTTACAGTACTGGGGATTGAACTCGGGACCCTGCACTTGCTAGGCAAGGGCTTATTCTACTGAGCTATCTCCCCGGCCCCCAACCCATAGTTTTAATGTACTTTTATAGCTATCACTTAGGAAAGAGCAATATCCCTTCAGATCATCTCACAGAAAACTATGAAATCAAACAGGACCCAGAACACTTACCATTAAATGTAAACAATAATGTCCGCTTAGTATCAGGTAGCTTTAAAGGCTGACCTTCCCTGTCATAAAAGAAGAGTCTATTAAGCGAGAGTATAAGAATGACATTTTCCATGCATGCAAATCACCTACTTCACTTAGATGGACAAATACTTGCAAATAATCAATACGGCATGCTCCTTGGCATCAATAAGTCAATAAGACAAACTCAGCCTGAAGGGACTTTAAGGTCATCCGGTCCACTCATCCATCTCACAGAAGTATCCCCAAGTGACTTTTGTCCTTTACTTGAATGTTTTCAATGATGTTCACTATAGGAAGGGCGTCGTCCATCTCACCAAGAGCCATGGCCTTCATGTAGAACTATATATAACCCCAGACCTTTTGAACTTTTTTTGATAGGAGCTCCCTAAGTCACTAGATGGGCTTAAACTTGTGAGCCTCCTGCCTCTGCCTCCCAGGGCAGTGTAATCACAAGTGTGAACCACTGCAGCTGGTGAAAGCATCATAAAATTGAATTAGGATCTGAATAAATTTACGGATAACTTAGTACATGATACAGTCAGCTCTCTGTATCCATCTGCCAAGTCAATCGATTGTGGATAGGAAATATTTTTTAAAAATTATGTCTGAGGGCCAGCCAGATAGCTCAGAAGATTAAAGCGCCTGCTTAGGCAGACACAGGGACCAGGGTTCAATCCCTGGCGTGCCGTGCCAGCCCTGTACCCGGGGCACTCTGAGACAGGGATTAAGACTGGGCATGGTGGCACGTGCCTGTAATCCTAGCACTTGGGAGGCTGAAAACAGGAGGATCACTATAAGTCCGATCTACTAGTAAGTAGACCCTGTAGTAAATACATAAAAAAAAAATTATGGCCAAATGAAAATATTTTATGTAGACATTTTTCTTAAAGCGTACAATGATGATTTAGATAGCATTTACACTGTGTATCAGAAAAAAAGCACAGGGATGTATATGTAGAGGTTTTCTGCAAATTATATGAGATTTTATATAAGGAACTTGAGCATATTCAGATTTTGTTATTGGGGGTGATGTTCAAACAAACCCCCATGAATTTAGGAGGAGGATGGTATGCAATTCAGTTCTCTTATTGAAGATTTCTTTGTAAGCTTTGTCAACCATTCTCTCATTTATACAAAAGGCTTCCAAATGCTATAATACTATGATGCTTTGTCCTCAGTGTTGAGCAAGGCGAAGACAATACAATGCCTCCTAGAGGCACAAAGACATGAATAATCTTGATATACAATTAAAATTCTGAATGGATTTGCTGTTGTTTTGGTACTTGGGAAATGAATCAATGACCCAGTATGGCTTTTTTTTTTTTTTGTATCAGAGATGGAACCCAGAGATGCTCTACCAATAGACATACTTTCCTATCCGTCTTTATTTTGAGGTAGGGTCTCACTAAGTTGCCCAGCCTGGCCCTAAACTTGTGAGCCTTCTGTTCCCTGAAGAACTTGGATTACAGGTATGTGGCACCACCCCTGGCCCCAGAATACTTTCTTCTCCTTTTTCTTTTTGACTTTTTGAGAAAGGGTCTCAATATGGAATTTTGTCTGGCCTTGAGCTTACTTTGTAGCCCAGGTTGATCTCGAACTTGCAACAATTGTACTGCCTCAGTCTCTGGAGTGCTGGATTACAAGTGTGTACCACCACACCTGGCATTTCTTTCCTCCTTTCATAAAATTACCAAATATAGGGCCTTTACACTGAGATACATGCCCATCCCCTTAGAAAAATTTTAACTTTTGAGACAGGGTCTTACTATGCTGCTAAATTATCCTGCTTTAGTCCCCCAGGATTCTGAGATTACAGGTCTGTAATTACAAACCAGTCCCCAGAATGGCTTCTAATTGCACTTAACTCCAAAGTCTGTAAGAGTAACTTCTAACTTAAAATTTACCAGTTCTGTATCAAGAATAAACTGAACTATGCTCCTCTGAAATACTGTCAATCCAAAGAACAAACCCAATCCCTGAAAATGTACACCTGAACAATATTGCTGCAAACCCAGAAACTGGAAAGAGCTACATACTGTAAAATACATAGCTTTGTAATCAAGCAAAAATCAAACATCATAAATTGTGAAAAAAGTTTTTTTCTTTTTTTAATGTATGTAGTACAGGCTCTGCAGGGTCTCACTACACAGCTCAGATCTGCAGTGCAGCGACCCTCCTGTTCTCAGTCCCCAAGTGCTGGGAGTACAGGCTCATGCTACCATACCCAGTCTCAACTGTGAAAAGTTTAACACCATCAAACAAACAAAAAAAAAAGGCAGGAGAAAGGGATAAGCAATTACATTTTCTTAGCATCAGCTATTCTGTAAGACTCATCTATCTCACTAAACGGATGATGGAACATGCAGGGGCATATGCAAAGGAGGGCAGGGGAGGCTCATCTGTCTTCCATAGGTTTTTCAGGAGACTCTCACAACGCACACAGTGAAAGCAAAGGAAGGCTTGGGGAGGCTGTCACCAAGTCCCCGCTCATTTGGAAAGGGAAACTTCCCAAACATCTTGCAGTGGCTCAACACAGAACTAGTGAGAAAAAAGCATTTCAATACTTAATCTTGTACGTACTCTTGCATAATTTTTGGACCAGAGAACTGGTCTGAAAAATGAACGGATTCAATCTTGTCAGCATAGTGTGTAAGAAAATGAACCATCTGAAAAAAAAGAATATAAAATTACTTTTTTTTAAGTTAGGATTGATAATTTTGCTCTTCTCACAAAGCCATTCATCCTTTAACATTCCCTACTTTTACAAGTTATTAAAACCCAAATGTTTCAAAAATTATAAGATAAAAAGATTCTCTAAAATGAAACTAGTACAGTAAGTCCCCAACTAATAAATAAGTTTCATTCTGAGAGAACATTGCTTCAGTCAGATTACACTGAAGCCCAACAAAGTGACTCTTATACACCTTTGGCATAAATACTCAATGTAAAAGCCAGGCGTGGTGATGCACGCCTGTAGTCCCAGCACTCAGGGGGCTGACGCAGGTTGGACCTGTGAGCTCAAGACTAGCCTGGGCTACAAAGTAAGCTCAAGGCCAGTCTGAACTTCATAGCAAGACCCTGTCTCAAAAAGACCAAAGCAAAAAAAATTCAATGTAAAGCATAAATTTCAAACACAAAAACACTGTGAATAAATTACTGTTACTTTTACAGTTACTTTAAAATCATAAGGGCGATATGCAAGCTACTTTTACATCTATGAATATTTGTAATGCAAGGTCCACTCCTATCGGTGAAAGTTCACAAGTCCAATGTTTGTTATCACTACATCCTCCATTTTGCTTTCTCCCCTTTGGTTTTTTAAATCAGATTCTTTAAAACCTTTTTTTATTTTTTGAGTCCTGGAGATCAAACTCAGAACCCTGCACTTGCCAGGTAGACCCTTAAGCCACTAAGCTGTCCCCTTGGCTAGATTCTCGCTATGTTGTCCATGCTGGCCTTGAATTCACAATGTACCCAGGCTCACCCCAAACTCACAGTTATCCTCCAGCCTCAGCTTCCCAGGTGCTGGGATCTAGCCACTCTCGCAGTTAATATCCTTTTTTTTTTGGCGGAACCGGGGATTGAACTCAGATCCTTGCGTTTGCCAAATTAAGCTCTTATCCTACTGAGCCATCTCCCTGGCCACATCCTCCTTATTGAACAGCTAAAAGTACCTCTTAAATAAAAGCATGAAGATAAAATCTAAGATACTTTCAAGGTGAACATGTCACTTCGAACTTACTATCCCTGAGTTACGCTGTATTTTTATGTAAGTAAGGTATGTTGTTACCACTGCGCAACTAAAAGAAATGGTTCTCAGGCTGGACTGGTAGCTCAAGGATACAGTGCTTGCCTAGCATTTTCAAGGCCCTGGGTTCAATCCCTAGCACTAAGAAGAGAAATGTACACTCACTTTCTCCCATACTAGTTGAGGCTCAAAGATACAGATCAAGTGACACGGTGAAAGTTATGCTTCTTTTTTAAACACCTTGAAAGTCAGCAGCAATTCCAGGAACAATTTGCTCTCAATTTAGCAAGAACTTCTCAACTAATCAAACTGCCTTTCTGACAAGTTAATCTTCTATTTTAATATTTGTCTAAGAAAGAAATACATGACTAGTGTATGGACGGAACGCAGTCTGAATTGTAAGAACGCCTCCTCAGCGTCAGGTCTGGCAAGCGCGAGCCTCGCACCGCACTTACCTTCGCATCCATCACTCCCTCTGTGACCTCTCCCATCTCCGACAGGACTGCCAAAGAGTCTGGCAGCCCATATTTTGCTCCAGACTTAGGTTTAT